CCATTAATATAAATATTATTAAATATATTATATTATATATTACTATATATAAATATTATATATATATTGATATATATATATATATTAATATATATATATCAATATATATATATTGATATATATATATCAATATATATATATTTATATAAATGTATATATATATAAGAATAAATATATATATATATTAATTAATATATAATTATAATATATATTTTATTATATATATTATAATATATATATAATAATATATATATTAATATATATATATTATTATATATAATTATTATTATTTATATATATTAATGAATATTTCAATATATATATATATATTAATTTATTTTAATTATATATATTCGATATTATTTTTTTAAATATATTCTATATTTGTTTTTTTTATATATAAAATATTTTCGATTTTGCAGGAATAGGAAAATTGAATAATGATATTTAAAGAAATAATTATTTATATTATTATTATTTTTCTTTAATATAAATATATTTTGATTATGTTTTAGATAATAAAGATATATATAAATATTAAAAATATTAGAATAAATTATTTTTATTTAATAATTTATTAATATATTTATTTTATGAATTATATTTTTTTTTTGAAATTATATATTATAATATGTTTTTAATATATATTTAAATATATTATATAAATATTTATATAATTTAAATAAATATTCGGATATAATTTTTTATTATGAAATAAATATATATATATATATATTAATATTTATTTAAATAAATTTGAGAAAAATAAAATAAGGAACTAAAATGAAAAGAAAAATTTGAAGGGGTCGGGGTAAAGGAAGGGAGGGGGATCTCCGCGGGTCGAAGGATTTTTTTTTTTTTTTTTCAAAAAAATATTAAATATATAAATATATAATGTTTTCGCAATATTTTCATAATTTTTCCGTTTAATTATTCTAATAATTGTTATTGTTTAATAATTAATAAATATGTATTTATAATATATAAAAAATATAAATTAAAATATAAATATAATTAAAAATAATAATTACATAAATTCCATATATAATATATATAATATTTATATAAATTTAATTATAATTTAATTATAATAAATTTATAAATTAATAATATTAAAATTATTTAGATTAATTTAAAAATATTATTTATATATATATATAAAAATAAAAATAATAAAATTAATTAAATTATATATTAAAATAAAAATATCAAAATTATAATAATTATTATTTATATATAATTAATAAATAATATATTTCAAAAAATATATTTAATAATTTAAATATGTAATTATGTAATTAATATATATTATAAATTAAAATTATATATATTTTAATATTAATAATTTAGATTATTAAATATAATGTTAATTAATATATTTAAATTAATTAATCTAATTTATATTAATTTAAAAAAAAATATTAATAAAATAAAAAAAATAAAACCTTTTTGTATAAAAAATATTTACCTAAAAATATGTTAAATAAATAAAATTTAATATATAATTTATTTAAGAAAAATTCAAATATATAAACCCGAAAATTATAATTATTAATATATAAATAATTTAAATTATATAAATATATTATTTATATATATATAAATATTTATATCTAAAATATAATATATATAATATATTCTCTACATAAAATTTCTATGTAAAAATATGTCTATATAAATCCATTTATTTATCAAAAAATA